ATGTGTGGCAGTTGGTGAATAGCATACAATGAATATGTTGCGGTATAAGGCTGTTGAACTTTTGAAAAGGTAATATCTCAATGTTTATGTTACCCTGGTACTTGAATGAAGTCATAGTTTGTCTTTGGAGTTCTTTTTTTTCTTGTTAGATTTTCAATAGCCGAATAATTATTATATCGACTAATATAAACTATATATATAAGTGGCTTCGTATCCACATTTTACTTTATAGAGTGACAAAGGTATTTTTTTTATAAAGCGGATCACAGGGAATCTAAAATGTATTAAAATGTTCCTTTTTTGTTGTTTTAGGGTTACCATTTTGAATAAGTAATTAAGTAATATTTATTGTGACAGTTGAATTACATATATTTATATTTAAGTAATGTATCTTTTTTATATTTTTATATCTGTGTATTAAGTTATCTCGTTTCATAGCACTGTTGTAAAAACATTTAATAAAAATAGGCCACGTTTGTCAACCGCTTTCTATTAACTAGCTTTTTAGTGTCTTAGATAACACTAAAAAGCTAATTTATAGAAATATTTATAGTCATACAAAACTAAAAAACAAGCTTTAATACGACACCAAATGACGTACACCAAGTACGAACTAAAAAAGAGTCTTCTGCTGGCCTTTTGGTTATTTGGCCAAAAATGAACCGTATTAGCCCAAACTCGAAGGATGCCCCGGCTCCACCTGCTGGCTCCATCATCAGATCAGCTCTAATTGAGACCTATTACAGTATTGTCATCGAAAATAGATACACAAATAAAGTTTCATTTATATACGATTATAAAAAGCAGGTTAAAATTAATTTTCAAGAGTTGTTTGCATAAATACTGATTTTAACACGTTTTGTGTTAAAATCGTTGTTTCTTTTTGTTTTATTAAGAGCAGCTCACAAATGTTGTAGCTCAACTATAATTGGCAACGGTTGCCGGTTAGGAATTTTATCAGATGCCTAGTTAATATAATTGCGGGTAGTTGTATGATACCCTAAACATGATTAAGTTATTAGGATGTTACTTACTTAATTTAGCTAACTTACGTAACGAATCAAGTAAACATTGTTAACACTTTTTCGGCAGTGGATGAGGTTATAGGAGCCCAAACCCCTCCTCTCCCTGATTCTAGGGAGGTGGGTGACTCAAATTGCGGAACGGGCTTGTGACTCTTGACTTGCAGGTGCAAGTTAAGAGTCACAAGATGGTTCTTAGCTATACATTTTAAAGATCATCAGCTCACTTGCTAGGTGATGTAGGGATCTCACTAAAATCCAAACCAAATTTGGTATACTGTTAATTTGATGGTATTTCCACGACATGTTAACCTAGAACTTGCTGCTGCATCAAGTAGTCTGCGGGATAGCGATCTCCTCCGAAATCCTCCTCCTTTTTTTTAACATTGTGTTACGTATACTCTAAGTGTGCTAAAAACACAGTTGGGATTGTTTCAGACAATAATTAGTCGTAGCAGTCGTAACCACTTTCACTTGCCGCTTGGCTGCAACGCAAGTAGGCTTTGCACTATAACTTTCAATTTACTTAAAGTATACATATTTTTATATCGTTCAGTTCGCAATCGTACTTAATTTAATATTTTTAGTCAATGCAACCATTGTCCTGTTTGTACTTTTGGAAATAGCTCTCCCAAATTGTCAAAAAATTACTAATTATTTGGGCAGATTTTTAAATTACTAATATTATAAATGCCATAATATTATAAACTCTGTCTGTTACTGTTTCACGGTCAAACTGCATGTAGTGAGATACTTTGATGTATTAGAAAGGACATAGGGTACGTTTACCGCGAAATCCTACATACACGCGGGCACAACCACGGGCAGAAGCTGGTTTAAATATAAATCTTTTTGCTCAAAATCATTAGATAGCTATTTTTTTTTAACTATTTTTTAATATTTCGAAAGCCGGTTCACCCGAATGCATAAGTGGCTTAGGGGTTGGAGCCGAATATTTTGAAAAGCTAAACTGTTTTTATATTCCAACTACTCATTTAACTAATTTAGTACAATAATTTGGTACAGCCTAAGTACCTACGTAGTTTCTACCATTGAAAGAAGCATGTCGACACACATACAAGTGCCAGCACACGTGATGTAATTGTCAAATATAATGTACAGTCTTAGCGTTTGTTGTGTCACGTTATAGTATAGCCGATCACACTATTGGTAGCGTGTCTTTTGTTTGATCAATTTCTTATAGAGGTGGTCGTTTGTGATGTAGTCATCATATCGTCAACAGCCTTTAGTCCACTGCTAGACATAGGCCTCTTTTTAGAAAGGAGATTCTCGCCTACTATGCCACGCTGGCCGAAAACTTGAAACAAACCCGTCTGGGTTAGTACAGGGTTTCTTTCAAGTTTTCCTACTCTTTGCAGTGCTATTGTCCTGCGTAGATAGCTCCCTTAGTCGGCAACCCACGGGATGAATAGGGGTGGTGACACTCCGTATTCTTAATCTGCCACCAAACTGATATCATGACATGTGATGTAGTAGATATAAACTATAACACAGTTTTATCAATTTACATAAAAAGTTGTTTTTACACAAATTTTCACAAAATCAGCTGCCAAAATTTCAAGGATGTATCCTCAGCGGTTTAGGGTCTGCGTTGATGAATGAACAATCATTCAGGGCAAGAAATCTTATATGTCTAGAAGACAATTGACATTCAATGCTAGGAAAAAAAATTTTGACACTGGACAGTGGAAACATTACATGATTCGTGTGACCAGTGACCAAGTAATCACACGAACTAACCAAACCTAATACGCAGTATTGTCTTCATGGACTTGTACAACGATAATTGTGGTGAATAGTAATTGATGCGCCTGCGTTCAACTAAACGAGGAATTCCTGTTTACTGACTGATGTCAGGCAAATTCTTCTCGTGATCATAATTATATGTTAAGTTAAAAGACAGTTGTTTTAAACTTTATTATATTCTAATGTACGTTATTCAAAGACGCATTGATTGACTCTGACCTAAAAATGCATCAAGGCATTAAGGCATACTAGATATAGTGAGGGCGTCTCAGGTTCTTTTTTTTATAGCACAGGAGGCATACCAGCGTACAGGACACATATCCTACCTCCACCTCAGAGTCACATGTACGCTGCGGCCTTTTATCTCCACCCCCTTCATTTCGAATTAGGGGGAGGTTTGGGCTCTGGTAACCTCCTTGACTCGGTTTTTTTTAAAGGCCACACCCATTTAACATAATCATAATTTGTCTTGACAACCAAATACTATAGTTTACGAAGGAACAGTTCAAACCTTGAAACTTGATCCTGCAGAGTTGTGTTCTTGACTATAATATTTAATGGATGGCATAAAAATTGTAAGGATGTCAGGAGTCCATAAAAATTATTAATCCTGGCTGTGCTCGTCGTTGGTAGAGAGTATTGAGATTATCTAATTGTTAATTAATTCTATACATTCTATCTGTCGCGCGTGTATGTATCGAGACTGCTGATAAACATACTTAAACGTTTCTAAATATATATCGTGGATAAATTACACTCTTTTTTTTTCCGTGCGGAAATCCCTTCGGATACCACCTATGGGTGGCATGTCGGACACGAACCGACTAAAACCGCCCGCCGTCTCAGGTACTAATAGCCGGGGAACATGGTATACCCTAGAAAGGAAGTCCCTGGTGTAGATAAATTACACCCAGACCCGTGCTCGTCACTTAATTATTTGTCGTGAGTGGGGATCACTAACGACTAGACAAACAGGCCCGTCAAGAGTTATCCGCATACGTTCAAAAAAGTAGAAATCTACAAATGTTAAATCTATGTATTATATAAAAGTACTAGGACAGCATGATGTGTGTGAGGATATCCAATCAATAGCTAATACAATTAACACTTGTCTATCACGTGACGTCGGTCCATTATATTAGGATAATACTACTCAATTCTGAGACACCACTACCAGCTGCAAGTGACTCCACAATTGAATTATTCGCCTCGGTTTGCAGTACTCATTTTCTAATAAACGCGTGTTAAGATATTGCGCAAGTACTGTTATTGACTGTGGGTTAGTCCGTTCAAATCCTTTGACGATATTCTCTAGACATACAAGTCGGTGCCCACAAGCACAAATGATTTAGATTTTTCGATTTTCATTCTCTATTTTTTTTTTTGGTTAATTGTCTATCTGATGGTAGAATTTATTTTCAGGATTTAAGTGACTATTAGGTTTATACCAACATCCTTAACGTAATTCTATAACCCTCCAATTTTATCTTCAATCAATTTAATTCAGAAATTTGATGATTTTAATGACGTATGGTGTTTTTGAAGAAAAATCTGTTCCCATACACATTACATCAACAGCCTTTAAAAGTCCACTGCTGGATAGGCCTCTCCTTAGAAAGGAGGTTTTGGCCTTCTATACCACGCTAACCAGACGGGTTGGAATAGGATTTGTGTCAAGTTGTCCTTCTCTTTGCAGTGCTGTTGTCCTGCGTAGTTTTGTTGTTCCCATAAACGATGTTGTTTAACTGTGTGAATTATTTGATTTTTTGTGTCTGACACCCCCGCCACTGTCTGTCACCGATTTCGATACAGCTTCGTTGTTAAGAGCCAAGTACGCAATGTGATAATAGACACGATAAATTTACTTACACTGACATAACTGACATTTGATGTTATGTCATATTATGACATTAGTCGCTTATTCTCTGAAAGGTGACGACACTGACAGGATAGGTGATTGATTGATGTAAGTATCATTGACCTTTCAGTGGAATGTCTTTTTAACTTAACATGATGGTCCATCTGATCCTAAACTAAGCAGAGTCTGTAATATGACAACCAGACTACAAATAAAAATGCTTATATATTATTAAATACTTCATAAAGTACACCCACACAAACAACCCACACAAATTAACAAGCCCATCTCACAATTATTTGGAATTCTGGGTGGAAATCGAACCCATGACATCTGACACAGCAGTTACTTACCAGCAATGGTGTTCAAGAACATCAGGTACTCAAAGTTGGATATCTCCCGGCGCTGCCACTTTTGTGTCATGTTGGAGTTGCGCATGAGTTGACGCGGCGACATCATCGAAGCGCGTCTGCAACAACACATAACGATTCATCAGTTAAAATTAAGTAGTTTTAATAAATAATTGTCCGAGTGGTGTCTCTGCGAAGAGAAGGAAAACTTGAAACAAACCCTATACCAACCTGTCTGGTCAACGTGGTATAGTAGGCGTAAAGGAGAGGCCTATTGTCATTCGTGCACTGTAACCAAACCAGTGCTAAAGTGCTAGCAGCTAACCTGTGTGTAGGCTAGCACATTGCAAAAGTTAAGCAATCCTGGCTAAGTCACTATATGGACAGGTGACCATTCCTCTCACATTGAGACCTCTCCGTGTCTCGGAGACCACGTTAAGCCGTCAGTCCCGGTTGCCATATGAATGTCTGTGGTGTTCGTTACAGGTAGTGGGGGTCCTTAAAAGTTCGACAACAGTCTTTCTACGAAACTTTGATATCGCCTAGTACTTGGATTGTGGAGATGGCAGTCGGTTCACTTAAAAAATCGAAGCTCAACCGTGTTGTAGTAAGACTGAAAGGCGACCCAACTTTTATTGGGAATAAGGATCGGCGAAAGACCTATTAATATAACATTAGAGTAGAATTTAAATATCAATAAACACATGAAATTTAATATAATGATAAACTATTACGAAATAAAAACATATAAGACAGGATGTACATCACTTTACCTCAATGCTGTTCTTATTATAATTGCATTCACACAATTAAATCTAATGGATACTGTCATGTTTTTTGTACAATCAGTTTTTATTACGCTTTCGTTATTTTATATTTAAACCTTCTAGAACAAATAAATAAATTTGTGATGTTTTGAGATTGTGAAACAGGTCACGATATGCATATGCAACCTATACTTAGAGTGTCCGATTAAATATTATATCACGCGGATTCTTTATACCCGTACTTTTGTTGTTTTATCCTGATCATTTGTTTGTAAGTCTTATGTCCTTCCAACACAAGGGGAGAATTCTCCAAACAGGAGAGCGGATCATACCTTTCTTTCTTTCTTTTCTTTTTTTAAAGACAACTCCCGCACTAGAAATGTGTCAAATACATACATGAAATGTACACAAAGAACACCCAGACTCAGAAAAACAATTTGTGGTTGCCATAACGTGTTGCCCCCGAATTCTAAAAATTAAAATAACAGTTTCAAAAGACTCGAAAACAATATAATAATTATTATATCTCTAATCCAAATATCTATCTTTTATGTATCGTACCAAAGCTTATGACTCCGCCACAGCCCCTTGTCGCATGATCTTACAGATCGTTGACTAAAACCGACTACCTTATTTTAGTCACAAACTTTACGTTGTGACTGAAATAAAGTCCATAAAAAAAAATTGAGTATACAAAAACGAGTAATTCGATAGCACACCTCGCCGATCATCTTAAAATTCGTCTGTTCAATGACATCTACGAAAGATAGTCACCAACAACATTGTAGCAGATTTTTTTTTCATTTCAGTCGGTATTTGTTTGTTTGTAGTACCGAACCCCTTGAGTTTCTGACATAGATGTGCTGTTACGGTTTTTCTGACAGCGAAATCTACTATAATTTCAACTCGATGATTACAGTTAAATATACTAGTCACGATAAAAACCTGCCATAATATTGTTAATTATTTTCTTTTACCTGTTCAGTGCATAACACGTATAACGGATATTGCAAAATATTGTGCAAGTGTTTGAGTCGGTCAATAAGATAGGCACATCGTGTCGAGTCGGTTCGATTTCATGTCACGATACACAATATTATGTATATTTGTAAATAAAAGGTTATATAACTATTGAAAGTTGTAACAAAATATAAGACATATGCACGTCTTTAAGGTATACTCAAGAGCCATGGTTCTGGGTTAGATTGTGAATTTATTTCCTCTAAATCTACTAATTTCAAAAGTACACAGCCCGGAGCTTAACCAGATAGAGCATGCTTGGGTTAGTCCCAATACTAAAGTGAAAAATTATTTTAAAAAGTATGGTGTTTTTATATTTTTGTTTTAATGTGAGATTAGTCATTATTTTAATTTATATAATGTAAAGTAACAAATAAATTTTATTACATTGATTTAAGGAGGAGTAGGAGTAAACTTAGAATGTACTCTTTGAATAATAAACTTAAATTCTTAGTTTTCCTGGATTTCCAGATATCTCTATGTAACCCATCACATCACATCACATCACATCAACAGCCTTTAGGCCTATGCCCAGCAGTGTACTAGGAGGAGGAGGTTTTTTATGTGTTAATTATTTATAACAATCATTGCAATATTTTCCTGCAGTCAATATTATTAAATGGGAATTTATTTAATATAAAGTGTGCGTGCGTGTGTGTGTACAAACTAAATACTATTCAATTGTTTTCGTTATTATTCATGTGTATGGTGTTTTTAAATTAGAAGTAGATTAAGAATGAGATAATCTCCATCGAAGAGCCACCCATCAAATCATCCCTCTCCCTGATTCCTAAGGGAGGGACTGAAAGGGCGGCAGGTTGAAAATAAATTATGTTACCTTTAAATAAAGATTACACTTTTCGGTGATTATGATTTCAGTAAAGGTTTCAGCGTTAATTGATTTGATATTGACATATTTAATTAACCAGAAATAAACTCCGGAAACAGTGAATGTAATAATCGCAATGTTCATTTTATCGGCAATTTTATATCTTTTGATAAAGAACGAGATATTCCGCGTGTTTGGTAAGTGTCGTGGAACGGTGTCAGGGACACGACACCGACACGCGGTTGTCGACCCGCGCCGCAATGTCTGCGCAGACGCAAGAGCGACACACGCGCCGCGCGACACAACGCAGCAGAAACTCAAACGATTACCTTAATATACATTAAAGAAAAATTTAATTCATAATGAAATATACACACCATACATATATATTACTGTATATTTCCATAGTTTCTAAACGGCGACTAGATTTGGTAGAATGTACTGTTAGGAGTAGGCATTCCACACTGTTTGAAAAAAAAAAAAACGCATTTATGTTTAATACGTATTAAAACCGCCTGGAAGCTTTAAAAAAATCTGTAAATTGCTAGTAGCATGCTGCCCCTACAGAACAAGCTCACTTCTGCATTCATATTATTAGCAATGTCATAATTGAAAATATGCATACAAATTTTACAGCAGTGTTTTAAATACTATACTCATTCGTTTAAAGTGAGCTAACCATATACGTAACTGTTTTTTTGTTTGTTTTAAAAAAGACAACTCCCGCACTAGGAATACGAGTAAATCCTTTGTCGCGGGGGAATTTACAAACATACATGAAACGGACACAAAGTACACCCAGACTCAGAACAACAATTTGTGGATCACACAAAGTGGTGTCCCATGTGGGGTTTGAACCTACAACACTCGGCGTAATAGGAAGCGGCGTGGCGACTACTACGCCATCCGTGCAATCGAATCCGTGTTTATGGTACTATTTTACATTTGTGTTGTAACAGTATTCCAAGATCCAATTCGCACTACCAAAACTGACGATGTAAATGGTCGAAACTAATTTGAATCCAAACAGTTAAGCTTTTCTGAGGTCGGAAGCTCAGAAACGGTCTATTTAATAACTTATAAATGAGTTAATTTTACAATATTTTTAAGTAGGGTTGTCACTGATGATTCAATTTTCTATAAAATTAAAAAGCTTTCTTAGATTCTCGTAGCGAAAGTTTGATTATCGTGACAATTGTTATTAAAACTGCCCTTCACTAGTAATAATTCCTCAATGCTTAATTATAGCGTTAACTGGTTATATAATGCTTCGGAAAATGTTATTGGATCATAAGTTTTGTCATGTAAAATGATTTATAAAGAAAACTAATTTATTTTATTTACTGCGTAAGCACAACGCATTGCACGTACTCTAGGACAAATTTAAAATTATAGTCTGTTTAAAGACTGGACTGGAAATCTTCTGCATGGGGACGTACTTGTTAAATAGTGGCCTTCCGATTGCAATAGAAATGGATCAATCATTCAACTTTATGTGTGACAACCCTGTCAAAATCGATACGAGTGAGTGGCGGGCTTGTGCCTCCATATACACCAGTATTCCGTAAGACAACACACGCGGCAGGAAGTCGGTGGAAGTGAGAGGTCATGTCATAAATAAACAAATAATTATCGACTAGGAAATAGGTTTCGATCGTTTTTTTTTTTACATCCTATGAATTATTAAGCAAGGGGAAATCCTTTTTAGCGCAAGTTGGTCCTTAATAACAACCTGACGTTTATTTAGTTATTTTGGTAACTTCACGTTTATATTTGTATACAAAAAATATGCAGCCTATTTTAACCGTCATTTATCAATTTAAAAGATTGTATGTTTGTGGTGACGGATTAAGAATACAGAGTGTCACCACCCCTATTCATCCCGTGGGTGTCGTCAGAGGCGACTAAGGGAGCAAACTACGCAGGACAACAGCACTGCAGAGAGAAGGAAAACTTGACACAAACCCTATACCAACCCGACTGGCCAGCGTGGTATAGTAGGCCAAAACTTCCTTTCTAAGGAGAGGCCTATGTTCAGCAGTGGACTATTAAAGGCTGTTGATGTGAGGCGATGATGTGATGTTTGAAACCTTTTTATAAACAGTTATGTACGGAAGGGAAAATATTACACAAAACTTTAAAAAGATTTCGTTGTATTTACATAACGTTTTTAAGTTCGTTGATAATATTATTTTTCTTATATCACACCCCTGTTTTAAATTGACATAAAATTTAAAGCTTTGTTTAACTTTATCAAGATTTTATTATGATATTGTGCTTATAATCCATTAATGGCTGTAATATACTGTCAAGTTCAAGTTGGCAATGGCCGGCAATATCGACACAAAAATAAGCTAAGGTGAGGTAGACATCTCAGGTACCTTGGAACTCCCACGATTTCTTAAGGTCAACAGTATTGTAATCCTGATTCCATTTTTGTGCCAATTCTATTGGGTTCATTATAGTTATGTGTTATTTTCTGCTATGTAATAAAATAAGTTACTAAAAAGGAAATGA